TATATATATATATGCTACAGTGTGTTCCCGAGACTTTCACGTTCTAAAGACACACCCCGTAAAACACAAAGGGCTTTGCGACAAAGTTGGTTTTCTCCAATATTAACATAATATCAGATCTTTCACATTTAAATCGCTATAGCGAAATCTTTGGTGTTTGCTGCTTCAAAATATTTCCAGATAAGATAAGATAATAAGATACCAAGAAAGAAATATATTGGTAGCAGCATGGTAAATTTAAATAAAAGAAAAACCATAACTGAATCCCCCCAAGCGTAGTGCCAATCATCACAAAGCGTGCTCTCGCCTGTAAATTCCTTAAACGGGACCTACATCAAATAATCGAGTTTCTGCACCTTTCTCTTTTTGGAAAAAAAAACCGTTGTGGCGTCTTTGGTGTAGCGGATAGATGCTTTTCCGTCGCACACAGAAGACCTGCGTCCGATTCCCTTGTGGGGAGAATTTTTATCGATTATTTCCGGGGGGAGGGGGTTGAGGACGTTCCACGGGCATCCATGAGGAAATATAACATCAACCCCAACCTGACCAACGTCATACAACAACTATATGACAAGGCCTCCTGTGCAGCCTACCTTAAGGGCAGCATGAGGGATTGGGTCAGGACTCGGCCGGGGTGAGGCAAGGCTGTTTACTCTCTCCCACTCTCTTCAACATCTTCCTAGAATGAATCATGACTGACACACTGGAAGACCGCAATGGAACAATCAGAATTGGAGACAGGACAATCACAAAATTGCGTTTTGCCGATGACATCGATGTATTAGCAGGAGAAGAACAGGAGCTCGCCACACATAGACTGGTGGAGCGACTGGACACAACTTCAGCGGCATACGGCATGTAGATCACTCCTGAGAAAACCAAGCTAATGACCAATAACACCAATGGCATCAACACGGACATCAAAGTCAGGGGCGAGAAACTTGAGACCGTCAACAGCTTCAAATACCTTGGATCAATCGTCTCAGACGAAGGCTCAAGACCAGAAATTCTCCCCAGAATCGCCCAAACAACAGCAGCGCTGTCAAAACTGAAGCCTATCTGGAGGGACAGAAACATCACGCCCAACTAAAAAATCAGACTAATGCGCTCTCTGGTCATCTCAATATTTTTATATGCCTGCGAGTTGTGGACACTGACAGCAAAATTAGAAAAAAGGATTCAGACCACAGAGATATGATGTTACCGCAGACTCCTTGACATCTCGTACAAAGACCACGTTTCAAATGCTGAGTTACGAAACAGAATCACCAACACAGTGGGGCAGCATGAAGATCTACTGACCAAAGTGAAGAGGTGAGAATTAAAATGGTATGGGCATGTCACAAGATCCACAGGATTTGCCAAAACAATCCTACAAGGAACCGTACAAGGAAAGAGAAAGAGAGGGAGGCAGAGAAGGAGATGGGAGGACGACATTACAGAACGGACAGGAAAGACGATGGGTGAGAATCTGAGGAAAGGAGAGGACAAAGAGAAATGGCGAGAGCTGGTTTTCAGATGCAGTGGTACCCCCATGGTTGCCCCAACCACGGGATAGAAGAAGAAGAAGATCCCTCTCAGTCCGACTGGGCGAAGTCCGCCTCCAAAATAATTTAGATTGTGTTAATGGGAGCTTAAAAGACCTACATTAGAAACGCCCGTCATAATAATATTAGTTGCGAGTAACGTCAAAGTGGAGAGGAAGTGGCATAAGGAAATGAAAGGGGCTGGGCAGGTGGAGGTAATGATTATTATACAGTGGTCGTAATTGTTCTGCAGTGGCTATTGCTGTACAGGGACCCACCACTGCCTTACGTCAGTCTGCCGCTGTGATGTAGCATTGACGTCATGAGGAGCACACAGTCAGTGTTTAACGCTCTAAGGACGTAGGGTGGGTGTCACGTATGTCTGACCAGCAGCAGGCACGAGGCAATGGCGCTGCACATTTGAACCATCACACAAAAATCTGAAGAAAAAAAAATATTTCATGATGTGCATATGCTTTCTTGCCTTTTCATGTTTAAGGTAAAGAACACAGAATTAAAAAGGCAAATTGTGTTTGAATAACAGCCGTATTCTCCTTTTGTGTTCCCCAAAAACAGCGCGTCTTCAAGCGTTGTGGAGTGACCAGTATGTGCTTTAAAAAAGAGTTAACTTTTATTACTGGCCTGTAGTTGAACGAAGGGTGCTGTTTGATTGATTTCGTCCGTCGGTCATCTCGTCACTTCCAGTCTCCGCCGAGCACGACGTGGTTAAGAGGTTTGCTTAAGGACATAATGGGAGAAAAGGGGCAGGACAGGAACAGCCTGATATTTGCAGACTAACAAGGAAGAACTATACAGAGAAACGGACCAACTGGGTTTATCAGACGACAGACGTAACAGGCAGCCATGCAGACTAGACTGGCAGACAGGCAAATAGACCCCTGAAAAATCGAATGAAAGAAAAAGAGAGAGAGAAGGGGGGGGG